AAACATCCATTTTTTAATCCAAATCCTATCTAATAATATTCATTTGTAACATTGTTCAACCAGCTTTGATATCATATTATAAAAACAGGATGTATTATGAAAACATGATAGACATCAATTGTTGCAAATGAAATGTGCTAGAAGCCAAGGAAAAGGGCACTTTTGGTGTCTTATTTAAAAGCTGAATAAGTCACAGTTTTTGGTACATTTTTTCTGTGCTATTGGGTAGTGTAGAATGCAACTCCTCAAGAACCTTGGTCAAGGATGAATGAAATCCATAGCTCACAAGAAGGTAACATGCTCTAAACTTCTAAGTGAAATGACAGCACAAAACCAACATATCTCTGACGCTCAGAACAGCTCCGATCCTCTGAAATCATCTTCCAACTGGGAAACCACAGAGGGGAAACTCTCTACTCAAATAACGGATAATGGATTTATAATCGGTGTTGGTAGGATGCCTATTGTTCTTTTTCCGAGGAAATAACAATCATGAACCCTATCCAGTCAATTATGAACTTAAAGTTGGTGAGCCAGTTAAACTTCAAACTTTTTTCTTGGTCGGCAACCGACTATTATACTCTTGTTTGTGACTGGTTATGTCACGCCTGCTACTGACCTGTCTCAATCCACGGATTGCCATTTCCAATCGTTTTCTAAAACACCTAATACTACCTGCAGGCGTTTTAGTCGCTGCTTACCGAACTAATCACAGCTGGATACAACCAGCATTACACGGACGCATGTTTCAACCGGATTGAATGTTTGTTGCTTCTCTTTTGCTGATTAGCCAACATCTTCTTACCGTGGTGTGATAATTCCACAGTGATTATGTTTGCCACGCAAATGCAGCGACCGAGTCTGAACTGTTTTGAACGCTGAATCTTCAGCCTCCGACGCGACCGGCCTCCAATCACAAAGTGCTACTTTTGCGCGATCCATGCAAATCTTAAAACTTGCATGGATCTAAAGGCAGACGTTGCTTTAGCGTGGTCTAGCTGGCGCCCACTATGGCATTTACGCGAACCAATATCGCTTCGACGCATGTCTAGTTGTCCAGGAGCGTTGCCACGATTCTGCTTGGCATCTTGTTGCAACTGCTTCAGCAAAGTCTAGTATATAAACACCGAAATGCTTATCCTGAAATTATTCCAAACATTTGTACGACCATTCACGCTCTAGTTTCGAGGTCTTGGGATAGTGTACAGCTTATCTATTGTCGTTGTTGTTGTTGATACTGAGCGCTTTTCGGTATCGAGATTGTTGCAAGTTTTGAATTGAGAATTACAGGTATGGGGAGTTTGTTCTACGACCGACGTGAGCCCACATACTTCGACAACCGATCTCGACACGCTCCCTTTTATTCCAATGTTGGTTACGGGATAGGTCGGTCTCAGGTCGTTCAACTTCTGGTACCTATGTGCTGCACGAAATGTGAGGAGAAGATTTACGAGGAGATGATGGAGCTGCGAGGAATCCAAGGTGTCATGGTAGATCGGCAGGCTCAGCGCGTGATAGTCCATGGCTTTATCGATCCCCTGAAGGCCCTGAAGAGAGCGAAGAAGGTGAAGAGAGACTCCCAGCTCTGGAGTGGGGCACCATACGACGAGCGCGACATCTACTTGTCTCCGAAGTATCGCCGCAGTGCTTATAGATCACCTTCGTTGTATCGATCTTCCTTTTACCAGTACCAGCCATCGTTGTACCGAACCCTCTCGTATGAGTTCCACCAGCCTTCGGTGTACAGATCCTCGTTCCACATGTACACCCCTGCTTACAGACGAATTTCATCGGGGCGGCAGCCATGGCCAGTTTACGATGACATGTACAATCCATACTACGTGCCGTACATTGAATCTGGGTTCTACTAGCAATCGGAGCCTGCAAAGCCGACACGATTGAAGCGTCTCCTCGCTACGGAGACATCAATTCTTTTCCGATAGCATTCACTACAGTCATGTACAGAACAACCGTGCGCGCGCCAATTTTGATCGCTTCATATATTCTTCTTCAAAGCGGGGGAAGTTTTTGGAGAACCCCAGTTTTGGTTACTGTATAGTAGGAAACTTAGAACTCAGCAATCTGTGCGCACAGATGCATGTGAGATTCCGTTTGAGCCTTCTTGTAATCTCGACAAGTTTTGCAATTCACTCAGTCAGTTATGTGAATCGTTCTCGCCCCGTGACCTACTCCTGCGTGCGATGATGTGTTAATTCCTGAATGGTTTCTCTCTTTTCATGTTTCGTGTGTCTGTAATGTGTGTATACCGCATAGCACAAAATGAAATGTTTAGGTCGCCAGATTCTAAGCTGCACTATGGTAGCTTAATTAACACACTCGGCATAACAGATCAGTGACATCGTCGTTGGGCATGTCGATAAACTTATTTTTAACTCCAACTGTTTGTCCAAGTCAGATCAGAGACATACCTAGACCAGAAGTGAGTCTCAAACTGTGAACTTTTCTTCGGAATGACCTCGTGTTGCTGATTTTCTCACAAGCATAGATCACTCTACCGCCGATAGAACAATTTAAATCAGTATGGCAGCAATAGAGCTAGCAATGCAACAATGCGGCACAAGAGGAATGTGATTTGAATCGCCAGCCAAAGAGCAAAATCAGTGAGAATGGGGGTGGGAGATGCTGAATCATAGACAGAGGGGGATATAATAATAATAATAATAATAAGGATCGCAACATAGCAGAAGAGAAATAACAGATGCAAAGAAGCCTGGGGCAGCCCAGAAGCGAGCTGAGACGATCAAGTAGAAAAACGAAGTGGGTGTGATTGAACATTGCAGTGATTGAATCTAAAGTTTCAAATAACAGTTTTACAAGTGGAATTTTACAATCCATGGGCAATGGAGCAGTGTAAAAAAAATCAGAAGAAGAATTTAAAGAAGGTGGGTAATCAAAGTCCAGACCTTTATACGGAGAAGAAAAATGGATAAGTGAACCAAAAGAGGATCTCATCAGGAAACTGAGGGGAACACAGCAACAGTGCGAGGAGTGATCAAAATTGCTGAATCAAAGAGGGAGATCAATATCAAACCAAAGCAATGGAGAAAAAATTTGAGGGAATTGCAACAGTGCATAAGAAAGGATCAATGCACGGTTTGAGTGAATGAGGTTCGTTTTGGAAAGGCAGTAGATTTTGGGAATAGCCGAGAAAATAAAATGGGAATTTAGTTAGCAAGGCAAATTTGTGGAAGTTTTACCTTTTGTTAAATAAACATTTTGTTATTGCAATTGGTTGCAAATATTGATATTTGAGAATACACACAGCTACATAATTGATTTATAGGTTTTTATCTGAATTTTTCAAAAACTACAATTTTGGGCATATATTTACAGGTTGCAATTGGGAATTTATTTGGCAATGAGAGTGTAACTTTTTATTGTGAGGTGGTAATTTATAACAAATTTTCTTTAAAAATAAGATTTAGAAGGAATGAGGCAGTTAGAACTTACAAGTAGTAAATTTTATATATAATAAAAAGATAAATAAATGTTATTTCAGATTCAATTGTAACAAAAAAATATAAGGTCATTTTTTACCAAGTTATATATACTCACAAAGAATGTAGCAAAAAATTATATAAATATGAGAGCAATTGATTGACTTTATTTTTCAAATTAAGGTGTATTAATTATATACAATAAGATTAGTAAGTAATTTACCTTCTATTGACAATGTTTTGAATTTATTATATAAAAACAAATGAAACTTACAAAGTGTGTAATTTTATTTCTTATTAAAAGGTAGAATTTACTGTTATTTCATTAAAATTTATATTTTTTCTATCTATAAATTTAAAGTATAAGTAACACATATATTTCTATTTAAAGTAAAACTTTAAATATTGCAACAAAATATTGTATCAATAAAAGAAAACTTAATAGTCTACTACAAAAATAAAAATTGCACAAAATGTGATAAATTAAAGCTCACCAATACAAATTGAGTTTGCATTCTATTATAACAATAATTGATAAAGAAAATAAATCAATTAAATCGAAAACAAAATCAAATAAATAAACTATATTGAGTCATTAATTTATTTATTTTTCATCTTTTAGTAAACTTTTATAGTTTTAATAATAAAAACAACTTTACATTGTCCAGTTGGTCGATACACAATGTACTTAAAAATTATAAGCAAAAAATTGCATGTAAAAAAAATAATATATTATGTTCCATGTACAATAAATTTGTTATTAATCTATTAAAATGGTAGATCTTTGACCTTTTTAAATTTTCTAAGATTTTTCTTCTACTCAATTATTCACCTCTAATATCTCTTATCAACACTAAAAAAAAAAAAAAAAAAAAAAAAAAAAATTAATAATAATAAATTCTAAATTTTAACTCAAGTGTGTCAAATCAAATCATTTATATGGTGTTACTAAATCAGATCATATTTGTAAGCTCATTCAACTACTTTCTAGAATTGTCTAAAGAAAAACCTTTAATATATTCTATACATTATTGTTGTCAATCAAAAATAGCATCACTCAAAAGAAGAAGAGAAGTAAAGGAAATATATATATATATATATATATATATTATTGAGAAGAAAAACAAACTAACATTTCTGGAAAAGCCCACATGATTGTATTATCCAACCACGCATTTTATGTATCTCTGATGTAATTTATGACATTTTTTGCTGGCGAAAAGGTTATTGAACACAAACAGGACAAACCTCAAATCCAATGTAAGCACCACAGACAGAAGAAGAAAGGATGTGTGCACGAAAATTGGGTTAATGTTGCATCATCCCTGACCAAAAAGAGTTCCAAACCCAAGACTGACTCTCATGCATAAAATATCCACAGCTTAGGGAGGAAGTTAACTGAGGAGCCAAGAGCTAGAGAAGTCAACAGCAGAAACAAGAGGAGAAAATGGGTCTTAAAGCTTCGAAACAGTAGCTATGGTTGCCAATAGTCCTCAATCAAATGCAACAGGGTCACTGAAAACCATGTCACATCACTAGATCAGGCCCCCAGAGTGCACATACGATTGTGAACGAATCCGTGTGTAAAGTTTTGTCACTCTTGGTGAGAGCAGGTTATGGCCTCCCCATCGTCGTTGTGTTTTTTAAGGTTGAGAGCGACAGTGTGTGTCTTCATCTCCCTTTCAGAAGCAAAGAGATTCGCTCCAGCCGATTTGATACTGCTTCCGATCCCAGCGGCATTAATCAGGTGGCGATCGGCACTCCAATCATGGATTCGGGAGTTGCACGGCTGTGTGTCAATCAATTCACTGTGATCAAGTTCTGATCGCCGCCGGGAGCTCCAGAGATGGCCTACTTGAGCAAAGCCATTCATGTATTCATTCTTCACATGTTTCTAATTTCGAGCTCACGGGAGATGTTAAAGATGGCCACACCAGCTCGTTCGGGAGCACCACTCTTCCTGCTGGTCGTGTTGGTGGCGGCTTTCGCGATGTCCACGGCTCTCGCCAGCGACAACAGCGTGACCATCATCAACGATGTCGGGGTCACAATCCAAGTGCACTGCAAGTCAGGGGACCGTGACTTGCACCCGAGGACCCTCTTGAGCGGGCAGAGGTTTGGTTGGGGATTCAAGTCCAACTTCTGGGGCACAACGCTGTTTTACTGCAGCTTTAACTGGGGAGTCAAACACCAGAGCTTTGATGTGTGGAGCATGCAACAATCGTGCTGTTGGTGGCCTGTGTGGACTGTCACTACTCAAGGGTTTCTCTTGGAAGACGCAGGCTGTGGAAAAGCGAAAACCTACAGACATCCATGGATGTAGTGCCAAACGGCTTGCTGCAAATCATTGTGTGGAGCATGCAACAAGACGTGGTTTACAATCTTCCCACCATCTGTGATTCTTCCAAGCTGAAACATGGGAGTAACCTTCTCTGTCCTAGACGATGTAGAGGCCTAGCGCACCGATTCTCCGAATTCACCCAAGCCTGGCCATTCCCCAGGACCAAACTTTCCTTGGTCCGAACAAGATCAGTACTTACAACGGCTCGCAAGCTATAATCTGCCAGTTCTCACGATGAAGTGTCCCAGCGGTACAGTTTAGAAGCGTTTGCAGACAGGTGTTGAACGTAGAACTGAGCTCGATGCCGTGTATTCTCACACACAACTCGTTTGTTTTACCGAACAGAATCATACAATAAATCAGCTTGCATTGCAATCCTGCGTGTGTGAAACTCGACACTGAGCTGTTTCAGAATCGGTTGTGTGTGTGTGTGTTTCAGTGCATGCGTTGTGGAAGAATATAGACCAGGACCGATCATTAAGATCGAAATCAACGAGAAACGAAGGAATGCACCGGATTTGGATCCCATCGAAACAGCTTTATTTAACTGACAAGATGGTGAAGAGGGTGCTTGGAATCGAAATCAAAATTCCGTGGCGAGGTAGCCTTGGACTTGACGGGGGAAACGGCACTGCGACTTCTTCCGCAGGACTGGCTGTGTCTGTCATGGCCTCCACACTAGAGATTTTGGATGAACTCTTAGATAAAGTTTGTTAACAAAGTCATTGAGGTGGTATATTCATCCAAATTTCTGATGATTGGAAGTCTCTACGTGGCAACCAAGTCACCATTATTGCATACATTCTTCTTCTTAGATTTTGTTTCTATTTTACAAAATAGTTTAGGTGTAAGATAAAGACCTAAAGAAGCCTCTTTATTAACCAAACATGGATGACCAAGGAAATAGATGGATAGTAATGCAAGAGATAGATGTATCTAACATTAATTAGTGTGTCATTTCTATTCCTAAGAGCATCGCCACCCATTGGCACCAATGGAGATGAGCAAAGAGTGGATGTCATGGCTGCATGGTGAACTAGTCAAGATAGCCCTGGTGCAATCTCCACCCATTGAGTGAGGTAGTTGACAACAGCCAGACATGATGCCACTTGCTCGCCCTGCACTAGCTCTTTGGAGCCTCTACTGCTAGCTCCCTCCCTCTCCCTCTTCCTTCTTTTGAGAAGCCTCCCTTGTAGAGAAAAGTGACTTTTATTGACTATCTTGCTCTGTGGTTAGTAGAAGCTAAGCACAATGTTACTTATCCTTCCCACACTTGCTCTGCCAAAGCCCCACTCCAAGCCTTAATAGGAGAGAGGCATTTCTCTAATACTTTGCCGAGAAAACAATCCATTCTATTAGGGCCAATAATAAGTCTACAATGGGACTTGTTTTAAGGCTAAGACAACTTCTATAGATAACATCAATGGCCATGCTCTAACTGTACATGTTTCCACTAGTGTGTTGAGGAAGAGAGAGAGGATTTTTACATGTTTTATTATGGAATTTTATGTATAAGATTCTTTATTTTTATAAGCTAAGGCAAATGTAAATTATACATTTGCATTACACATGTATTAATATCATGGTAAAAATTTAAGATTAATTTTATGGTTTTTTTTTATGATTTTAAATTACTAATATTTCATTTCATCTCTTTTTGTAAATTTTAGTTATGAAGATTAAAAAATTAAAAGATGGATTTGTAAACCAATGAACACAAGTAAATTCCAAACTGCTCAAAGGCATCTTCTAAAATTGAATTCAATTTTGCAATGTTTTAAGTAAATATTTTTCAATCATAAAAATAACTAGAAGTAGCATATAAAAAAGTTTAATTTTTTAGGATATTGTTATTTCCAAAAAAAAACTTGAAGGTTTTGAAAACATTATAATTAATTGAAAGATTGATACAAGACTAAATCTGAAGTAAAAAATTCATAGTATATGTTTTATAGGGATGTAGTTGTGATCCAATTTAAAAGCACTTATCTATAAATTGATTTATTAGAAATTTTCACTTATATTTAAAGAGTATTAAGGATGGAGGATTTACATTTGTTAATCACAATTAACCACAAACAGTTATAATCATACATGATTTCCAAGCACTGTTTATCCAAGTCTAAAATCTATTTGTAGATAGAACTAAATCTTTAGCTAAATAATTCAATGACAATTTAATGAATATTGTTACAAATAACATTATTTTTTTAATTCTAAAAATTATCTATTTCAAGTGAATGGAAAAAGAAAAAATATTATCAACTTTCACATTTATACTTATATGTGAATTCAATGGGTACTTGTTTTTTTTGTTTTTTTAAACAAGTCATAATTTTTAAATAAAATTTGGATGATGTTGATATATATATATATATATATATATAATGCTTCTTTGCTTAAAAAAAAACCAAACCAAAGAAAGAAAATATATCCATGAAAGTTAAAAGTTACTTCTATATTTTTTTCTGACAATCTAGGAAAAGAAGTTCGTATTCAATAACCTCATGTCACCTTTTATATATATATATATATATATATATGTATGTATATAATTTTGTTGAATATTTATCATAATAAAAAATTTAAGACTTGAATGTAGGTAAATTTTTGGATGTATATATATATATATATATATCAAAAATATTTTAAATTAGTAATTTTTAAATTTTTAATGAGTTATTGCAAATAATTTTTTTTAATGTACAAACATAGATTCTTAGATTATGATTTTACTCTCTTTAAATGCATTCAGATTCATAAAACTTGGAAATCATGTTGTAAAAACCTCAAATTTGATACATCTACAAAACTTTCATATGATTGTTGTTTCTTTAATGCAATTATATTAATACATATTTTCGGAAAATAAGAGAGAATTATTAAAGATATTGAAGAAATACAATAAATAAAACACAAGTAAGTAGAAATCAAAAATGTTATACCCAAGAGAAGTGTAGAATGAAATGCCTCTCACTTCCAACATCCTTTACTTATTGGAGGAGTTTACATCTATTGTAGTTGAACTTTACCTATAATCATCTTCATCCTTCTTTGCTTCATCTAACTAAATCCTAGATTCTTCTTAACCTAATTGTCACATTAGTAACTTATCTTAGGTAAGTTGCCTAAGGTAATATGTTCTTATTTTAACAAAAGATAGAATATGAAATAGAAAAATCAAAAAATAATGTTAAAAAATAGTAAAATTCTTGTGGTTAATATACTAAATTCACACTAAATGGTACATTTTTGTGTTGTCGAAACCTAATTGTTAAATACATGGATGGATAAGAGAATGAAATTAATAAATAAATAAATAAATATAAATAAATACAAAATAACTAAAAAAATTCTATATTATTGCTTTGTGATGCCATATGTTTCATGCCATTCATTTCATGCAATCCAAAAAATCTTATTTTGACATACTATTATTTTAAAATTTAAAAATATTTAAGAAAATTTTTTAAATTAAATAATTGATAAAAAATTTAATAAAATAATATATAAAATTTAAATCTAAATGATATTTAACTTGAATACGATTTTTTAATAATCATTTAACAACCTTTAAATAATTTTTTAATAAAACAAAGATTCAAAAAATAAGACTTTTACTTAAATTTCTCATTCACACTTTATCATATAGGTAAAATAAATGGAAAAATGTTTCAAATACGAAATCTAAAGTGAAAGTTCAATATAACATTATACCCATGTCCTTCTACTATGAGATATTAGAAATTTTGTCACAACTTGTTTCATACTAAATTTGATATATAAGACATAAATGAATGTGAATGTGAATGTGAACAAAGCTAAACCAAAGGGGCAACTTTGCATTTAAAATTCAATAACTACTTATTTCCATTTCAAAATTATCATCTTCTAATCATAAGTTTAAAAAATATGATCTTGTTCTCTTAATATTAGAAACAATTATTGATGAAATCATCAATAAAATAAAATAACTCCTTCATTAGAAAGACTGGCATATACCCCTCCCACCAGTTTCTTTCCAAATTTATTTTTTTAATTATTTGTATTTCTCCCTTTTTAATGCATAGACTTCGCCAAAAAAACGTGAGCGGCTTGCAATTTGCCTGAGCAATCAGAGAGGATGAGGCGTTCATCCAACAGCAGGACATGGATGAATGACGGATGAATACTAGATTAATTGTGGAGGAATGATGAATGGCTTCCAATGTAAAAATAAAAACCAATGACAAGGAAGGATGCCAGGTGTGATGCCAACTCCTCAATTTCTTGGGTTGGGTATAGGTCAAAGCATGGGCCGGGTGGAGCCCATGACCACGGACGTCATGCATCGGCTCCAAAGAAGGAAGAGACGCCCCACGCAGGGGCAAGAGTATGGGGATGCGGGCATAGGGCTGCCGATCTGATCTGACTGTTCTGTTCCCAGTGTCAGAATAGGGTCAGTTAAGATTGGCCTACATGAAATAACCAGCGGAGGTGATAATAAATTTCATGAAAAAAACTAAAAAGAAAAAGAAAAAGAAAAAAGTATACATAGCATGGTGAAACCAATTTTATTGAATTTCCTCCATCTCCTTAATCTAAATCTATCATTTGGTTTTGAATTGGCACACAATTCCATTGGTTTGTATTCACTTGCATACTAGATCAAACTTGATAAGGAAGACAAATTCAAAACAAAATAATGCACACACACGCACACACACACATATACACATACATACAGATATATATATATATATATATATATATATCAAGAGTTTTAAAATAAAATTTTATAGAATGGTTGCCCACTACATAGAAAGGTCTATAAATTTATTCATTTTTATTACTTTAAAAAAAAAAGGTAAGTTGTACATCTCATTAATCCTTCTTAAAACATAGATGTAAACCAAAATGTGATTTACAATTTGATTTGGCCTATTGTTGAAAAGTTGCTTTTTTGAGTGCACTCAAAGTGACGAAGTTTCTTTTCTTTTCTTTTCTTTTAAAGTTTTTCACCCAGAAATTGGGGACAAAGCCTTGGTGCCAGTTTTTTCATTCCTGTGCCCCTTCCAAGGCTTTGAGGTTATCCAAGTGGACAATACTAAAAGGATATTATCCAACCCAAACTTGAAACACAGACACACTTTTATTTATTTTCACAAGTGTTTGCATAAAGTTTGCCACTGACTTTTGAATCCAAGACCTGGTCACAGCTCTTGTCTTTGTTGTAGCCCTGGGGAATTGAACCTCACTCTCTAGCATCCCCAAGTTTCTAGATTGTTCTCAGATCTTCTAGAGTTTCTCTTCCTTGCAATGAGAACTTTGCAAATCACCATTCATCAACTGAATGAATGTTTGACTTGTGTTTATTGTCTAAACTGATAAATAAATTTCACTAAAGTAACAATGCTTTGAATACTAAATTTTGAAGCAGTGAAACAAATGGTGATATTCCATTCAAATGAGCAAATGTTTACTTTCACAATGGGAACTCAAAAATCACTATCAGTCTTAAGATTATTCAAATAAAAAACATATTTAACTTGGTGCATGTTAAACATAGATTAAGATTTAAAATATTAATTAATTTTATATGCATACTTCCATAAGTATGTAGGTTGAGAACTTTCCCAATGAAACTAGCATGTTTGTTCTTGACTAACCAAAACATAGTTACACTTGCTAATAGAATTTTGATATTGAATCATATACATACATGGATATATGTACGTAAAAAAAATATACAAACAGAATGTAAGTATGTATGATTGTTACTATATATATATATATATATATATATTCATTATTTTATACAATTTAGCATGCCATCATTTGTATGGAATTAATTTATTATTATTATTATTATTATTATTCAACATAGGTCAAATGTTTTAGAGAATTAAGAATTGAATATACATAACTAATTAAAAACCACCAAACAAAGTTGTATAAAATAAATATCATATGTTTTAACACGTAGATAGATTGCAACAGTTTTATAAAAATTAAAATATAGTAAGACCACACCTTTATTTTGATTGATTAATCAAAATTACTTCCTGGCAAAAATTAAATATTTCTATTGTAATTTTTATTAAATGTGACCTAAATTTACAAATATAATAATATATTTTTTAAAATTTAATTATTTTAATATATCTACATAAAAAATTTATTCTTCTAAAGATATTATTTTGATGTCATTTATTTTTTTAATATTAGTTTTTTGAGCACATTTTTTTATCATTTTTATTTTTAAAATACTAATTATAAAAAAATTATTCAATAAATTTTTGATATGTATTCTTTGAATTCATAAAATTTAATTTTATAAAAGATATATATACTAGTTTCAAATATAAATACATACATACATATACACATACACATATATAATAAGTAGTGTATTTTGAATTTTTTTACTTGTATAAAAATGCTTTGATTCTTTCTACACATTAATTTTAAAAAAATGTATATTCAAATAAGATTAAAAACATTAGGAGCATTCTGAAAGATAACAAAATCAAACGTCTCATTCAACCAAAACTTCAAAATAACATTGGATACATGTTAATAACCTTTTCAATTTGTATTTTAAAATAATCTTTTCAAATTTTATTTTAATTAAAAAATGATGGAACATACAAGCAAAAATTAATATTTGAATATATGTATATATATATATATATATATATTATGAAACACGTTAAATTAAACAAGAAAAGAAGTTGTAAAAAATAATCGATTTTTTTTTTTTGTAATCTAAAAGAATAATCAAACTTATGATCCATGATAGAACACGACATCCTTTACCCAGTTCACACTCCAGAATGACATGAACAAATGGATGAAAGTATGAACGAACGACTTCCAACGAATGACCAGGGAATGACGAAGCACGGGTACGGGTCCATAGGCGCGGAGGAGGGGTAAGGAGCGGAGATAGGTTCCAGCGACGTCGCCATCATCAGCTTGGCCTTATGGAAGGGAATCCTGAGCTGGAGAGCGGGCTAAGAGCCCACCCCAATTTTCAAAGCGGACCACCACCGCCGCTCTCCCCGAGGCACTAAGTGTGCTCCAACTCCAATTTTGCGTCCCACTCGGGGCTCTCGGATTGATCCATCGCAGTGAATGAGAGAGCTTCAAGCATTTCCTCCCATGCCTCTAGATCCCCGCATCACCTCATTGTTTTCTCACTCTCTCACTCTCTCTCGCTCGCTCTATCGCTTATTTAGTAGGCCGATTTATGACGTATTTCACAGTTTTTTTCCTTGAGCAACTTGTTGATATATTGTCTTCATATAATATTGCGTTCGGGACTTGTTGCTGGAATTCACTTGGCTGCACATTCTTCTCGATCTCCGGGGTTAACCAGGGTTATGGAGCTCTTGTTTTCATAGAGTGATGTTGGATTTTGGTGTTGGTACAGTCCTTCTAGTGAGTGCGAGGGGATTCGTGATTGCGGCTGGGCGCTGTGGTGGTGTTCGCATTGCCGTGTGTTCCTGCTCTTCGCAATTTGGATTTTCCTTCGGGTAGTTGGGATTGGTCGTAAGTTTGGAGTGTAGGTGTTGCTCTTCGGGAGGGAGTTAGTGTGCTTGGTGTTTGAATTCTGTGAGAGTACTCTCTACGCTGGTTGATTGGTAATTGGGAAGACAAATTTAGCTAGTTGATCATCAAGACGACAATGACAGACATCGAGGTTAGCACACTTCTGCTGTTGCTCGTTGTTCTTACTTTCTTTCTGTTTTTATTTTTTTAAGATTATTGCACTAATACCTTAATTCCTTTGTGGATGGATTCAAGGACGGCTAGTGTCTGACCACAGTCTTGGTGCATGGGGCGACTGATCCACGTGCTACATAGTAAAAGTATTTTCTTCCTTCAAGAGACGATGGTACCCTGTATGTTCCTAAGAAATGTCATTGTACGTGGTCGTATGCAGGCTTGTTACATGGGTGGTCCTGCCCCCCCATGGCTGGATAAGAATGCATGGTACATCCCTGTGCAAGTTAAAAAGGAGTATGCAGACAAAATGCCAGTAAGTCGATCAGGATCAAGTCGATGCTTTTGGGCTGTGGCTTGATGATCTTAAGTTTTCTGGATAATCGTCATTTCTTTCGAACGGATATCATGAAATAAATAATTCTGCTCAAATTTCTCGTACTTCGTTTCGATGATACTTTATTAGGCTGAGCATAACTTCTCCCAGATTCAATCTCCTCATTATTTATATCCTTGAAAGATTTTATCCTCACTTGGCAGGCTCAGTTCAATTTACACATGTACTTGGAAAATTGAATTGTTGGCCGTGGCTCTTGTAGAGGATTGGGTTGCACAAAGTTGAACTGAAGGTGCATATGTGTTGCGCCAAATGCGCCGAGATAGTGACCGAAGAAATCAGATATTTAGGAGGTAAGTCCATTTTTCAGTCATCCTTGATCAGAAAGAACATCCATTCCAATTTAACATTCAAACGACATGTCAGGGATCCATCTGACCGTGTTCAATTTCGTTTATTGTCGTTTCTATGATACATTGCAGGAGTGTTTGATGTGAAGGTTGACCAGAAGAATTCCAAGGTCACTGTCACCGGAAGACCAGATCCTGAAAAATGTCTGAGGAGAGCAAAAAGAGTGGACAAGCATGCAACGTTTTGGCCAGCGCCACCTCCTCCACCCCCCGTAGTGGTAGTGGTGCAAGAGAAGCCCAAAGAACCAGAGAAGCCCCATGCGGATGAGGAGAAAAAGGAAGAGAAAAAGGAAGAGAAAAAAGTGGAGAAGAAGGAAATGAAGGAGGAGCCAAAGGAAGGAAAGAAGAAGAACAAGAAAAAACAGGGAGAGAAAAAAGAAGAGGCAAAGGAGGAAAAAAAAGAGGAGAAGAAAGAGGAGGTGAAGGAGGAAAAAAAAGAAGAAAAGAAGGCTGAAGGTGAGGCCAAAGCTGAGGAGGAGCCCAAAGAAGAAGAGAAGAAGGAGGAAAAACCCGCTGAAGCAGAAAAGACAGAAGAGAAGAAGGCTGAGGAGAAACCGAAGGAAGAACCCGCGCCATCTGCACCAGCAGCGGCAGCAGTGCAGTATCAGCCCTCTGAGTATTCAACAGACGAGGGGTATCCATTTGACGGATACAAGCCGAGCCAATCTTACCAGCCTCTCTACCCCGATTTTAATCATGTGGGATACTATAGCCCACAAGTCCCGTTCCTCAATCCCAACTATTTTAAGCATGTCAAGATTGCATATTGAGTTTGCCATGAACTATTATACTTTCAGTTGATGAAAATTGCCGAAGTATACAGGACTGATAAGTATGACTCAGCTGCATGCATATTGTGGTTCTGAGGCATCATTAATTTACAGTACTAGATAACTGTAGTGTAGGGTCTATTGTTCGGAGAATCATAGCTCTACGCTTTTCATACTGCGGGGAGTAGAAAGTCAGGACTTTCATTTTCCCTTTTCACGGAAATTTAAGTTAAGTTATCTCCTAGCAGTGCACATAGAGAGAGGTGGTGCTAGTAGCGATATTTCTACGAATCAAATGTATGTGGTTCGTGGTGGATCTCAACAAAACATTTGCAATTACAGTGCAGAGCACGACAATGTCCCCTAAAAAATAATTGTGAGGACTCAAAATTGGTTAATCATTCTAGCTCTTTACTTAGATCTCCATCTTCTCACATCTCAGGCGTGCAGTACTCTAGTTTATGGCACATCACACTATTATTTGTGTGCCAAAATCTTCCAATGACGCATGCCTAACGATGAACAAGATGTGTGTCGTATCTTCTTATCTGTAGTAAGTGGCTTTGCAATGGGCTGGAAAAGCTTGGCTGCACGGAAACGCAGCACCTGGTTGGAATTCCCCTCTAGATATAATTTTCGACGTGACGTTTATTTCAATGTCTTAAAGTTTTGTCAACAAAGCCTGCGGCCTTAAATAGCGAAGCTTCGATGCCATTGTTGCTGGGAAAACATCGGGACTGGCAGCAGTCCCTGATAAGATCAGTGCTCGTCACCACAGCTCGGCCGAACCACTGCTTCTGTTAATCTGTTGGGAAGATAGGAACAGCTCTGCAACATCTCACTCATTTGAGTGAAGACAGCTACAGCAGTTAATAGTCCTCCGTCTACGTGGGAAATCACTGAGCATCAGGATTAGTGCAGGTGATCAAAAGGCAGTGCAATAAGTGAAGGAAAAGCGTTGACTAAGTTATTGATGCTGGCCTACCTTGCTGCTCTTCGAAGCCCTAATTGGGAAAAGTCAATGTGTGTGTGTTTGTGTAGATTGTGAGATCTACGTGAAGTTGCGCTAGTTTCGAGAGCCTCATCACCGCCCATCGTTTGTCTTTACCCAATAGATGACGGTTTGGAGCATCACATCAAATCGAAGCAATCACTGGTAGTGGATCTAGGGCTTGACCTTTTGGTGCTTTTAGTTCAAACTTTGGTACTTGTACTCATCATATAACCACCTCGTTCAAATCCATCTTGTTGAGGTCTCTATGTACACATACATTCTTTGATTGATTGATTGATTGATTTATATATATATATATATATATACACACACATACATACAAAGTAATTCTTGTAGCTTTAAGAAATAGAAGATGAGAATCGGTTTCATTTAGGGATTGACAATGGGTTGTTGACAGTGAACTAAAATAACCTCCTACTAGTTGGTAGGTTATCCTAATTTATAACAACTAAGTTATCAAATGATTCTATTCTTTGATAATTATTATTTAAACAATGTCTAATCCATTCTAAAACTGTCAAATCTCACCCAATTATTCAACCATCCATCAATACAATATGCCCTTATAATGCTAAATCATACAAAATTCATCCAATTAAATTATATTTTATTTTTATGATTTTTTATTTTTTATTTAATTTCTTATTTCTTATCAAAATTTATTTATTCACAAAATATCATTCAAGAATAAAATTTCATCTAAGAATAATTTTTCATCCAATAGAACCTTCATTCAATTCAAAATTTCATCCATATTGACTTAATTCCATCTATGATTCAAATTGTTCATTTGATGCAATCTATTCAATTATAATTGTGGTCTATGTACATCTTTTACAAAAAAATTAGAAACTTAAAAGTAAGTTTTACTTGAGGTGGCTTTTTAATTCTAAGCTACATGTACTGCATGTCAATGGAAGATTTTGTGTTTCTAATATCTCCTTTCTACTTTTGTACAACTACTCCAATGTCCTTAAATATCCATAATATTTATGACTATGGAGAAAAAGACTCAAAAAATGAAGTGATTATCATGATCACTTGATTACTACTCTTTGAAGATTTATCTTAACTTACTATTCCTTTACGTTTGAAGTATTGGCTCCAGTGCAGTCCAACTTTGAACATGCCTTAGGCACAATCTTTCTACACAAGCTTCAAGCTCTTAAACAACAATAGATACTCAATTTCAAGCTTCCAATGTACCATTGATGTTTTGTATTAGATTGATGTTCAATATGACTTAAACTCATTCCAACACATTAAAATTATAAGAAATTGTGTTCAGCTTGGTTAAATTGAAGAGGAAAGAATGTTGACAATTGGTACCAAATTCCACAATTGAAAAGTAATCAAGCAATGTCTAATCTAAAATAGCAGTAAGAGGCAGTAAAAAGAGTGTTGAATATAAGTATCATCTATAGATCATCAATTCAAACAATGCCCAAGAACGTAGTTTGAAGAGAATGAAATTGATTAGGAATTCAAAAGCTAGTAATGTTTTTCTAAAAACAATAATTAGAATTCATGCCTCTTCTATTAAGACCTTTGTTCTTCTTGCAAAATCTTTTGTTCTTGCAATTGAAGAAGCTAAAGCAATGAAGGTCAAGATATTGAGACTCTATTGGATCTTAAGAGGAGTTGCTTTGCTATGGAGATGGAAGCTAAAGATCTCTTATTTCAACAACCTCAAACTATCTTTCTTTATTCCAAAAGTTTAAGAAGACTCTTGAGGTTTTGAAGATCAATAAGAACCAAAAGAACCATGATAAAATTGGAATATAGTTTTTAATGAATAGTTGTCTCTAACATATAGATTAATGTTGTAATGTGCTAAGTAAAGAATGGTGTTGTCAACGTCCTACAAATTTGTCACTAATAATTGACTAGAATAAGAAGGATGTATCACTTCACCTCAATATGCTTTACTAGAGCTACAATTGAAAATAACAACAATTATTGGCTATCAACAACATCAATATAGATAGAATTGATAGTAGATTGTTAATATTGCATTGCAACACCACCTCACAATTCTATGAATCAAGACAATTAGAAGTTTGTGGTTAAGAACCTAGTATCACTTTCCATTGCAACTTCACCACCACCATTAAACATAGAAAAGATCAAAATTTGGAAGAAAAGAAACATAAGGGTCTTCAACATCTCCTTTATCAAGTACTCTAGTAACCTTGCTCAGCTACACTACATTGTGATTTAAATTATCTCCAATGGCAACCATTATTGTATAGTAACATGGCTATTAGGTAAAAGAAGAAAGGAAATATTTTATTCTAGAAGAACTTATTTTATCAAATTATTTTAGAAATATAAATAATAGACGAGGAGGTAGTAAAAATTAATGAATGCTAATGTTACCTTTTTGTTTTAGAAGAGACTTCTATTTATTTTTTAGGAGTATAAATGAATCATATCAAAGTAAATGAGATAAGTATTTTATATATGCATATTTAGAAAAAGATTAAGTATTCGTTTTAGCAAAAATTACCTCAAAATATGAAGAATTGATATCTATAGAAGACTAGTTGTGAACCAAGGTTGAAATCAGATCCGAAGGCACAAAACCATGCATCTACAGTGATTCCAAAGTTCTTTGGTTGATTAGAAAGCAATGTTTAGAAGAAATTTTTTGAGAAGATTTTTGAAAATTGATTTTATGTGAATTTAAGATATATTGAGGTTTTGAAAGCTTTTCAAAGTAAGATGTACATTTAATGGATTTGGATTTTAAGAAATAAAAAGAAGTCATCAAATTTCATGATTTTGTAAATATTGTAGAATATTTATGAGTGAAAATTTTTCTTTTTATTATTGTACTTGTTATAAATGTGTATAAGAAACTTGATGTCAATCAAATAATTAGATTGAAGGTTGTGAGAGTTTTTGTAGATTATAGTCTCAGATAATTGAAATTTAGGATCAATGAGGGTTTTCATGATCTTGCAACATCCTTTAGTTTGATTGAAGCAAAAATTGGTAAGAAAAATTTAGACTTAAATATCTACATATTAGCTAATTTGTGGAGTAATTAAACTATCTAAGAAGGATAAATCTTTGTTGGAATATCAACATTGAAGTTGGAGAAGGAAGGCAACCAATATCTGAGAGGTTTTGAGAGCTTTTTTTCAATTGATGAGTTTAATTCTTTTCAAATTTTAAGTAGTTTTAAATTGCTTGTAGATTAAAATTTAGGTGAAATTTTAGTCAAATTCAAGGATTTAATTAATATTTATTGAGGTTTTAAAATAACTATAGTAGTTGATTAAGATATCTTTAGGATTTTTTTAGGATTATTTAGAATTCTTTTGGAATTTGATTAGGATTTTGAATTTGATTAGAATTTTGTTGGAATTTAGGATTTGATTAAGATTTGATTAAAATTAAGTTTGACTTTAAGTTAGGATTAAAGATTTGATTAAGATTTGATTAAAATTAAGTTTAGATTTAACTTAGGATTAAAGATTTGACTAAGATTTGATTAAAATTAAGTGAGGTTTAATTAGGATTTTATTAAGATTTATTCTAGATTTAAGATTCAAAATTTTATTAGGATTTTATTAAAATTTGGTCTAAATTTAGGATTTAGAATTTTATTAGGATTTATTAGGATTTGATTATGATTTATTTAGGATTTAATTAGAATTAGTTTAGGATTTTATTAGAATTTGGTTAGGAATTGTTTAAGATTTTTTGAAGGCTATAATAAAATTTTATTAAGATTCAATTGGGATTTTTATATTTAATATTTTTATAATATTTCTTTAAAAAAATTAGTATTTTTTAATTATATATATTCTTTTGAGGTTAATTTATGATTTCTTTATGTTTTTCTTATAAGTTCTTTTAAACTTCTTTTAAGGTTCAATTAAAAATTGATTAATATTGTTATAATTTAATTAAAGTTTATTTAATATTTTTTTAGAATTTTTAGGATCTTCTTATTGTACGTTCCATTTTATCTTCCATAACCAAGTATCTTGTACATTTTCAAGTAAACTTTACAAAATACAATACCTTGAACTTGACCAACAAAAAGAATTTAAGAATTTAATCCACTACTTGCATTACAAGTTCTAGTGCAAAGGACGATACTATGGCTTCTATTTATTGCACAAAGACATGAAAATAAAAATCACCAACATCAAAAGTTCTTCTACAGAGCTACATTCCATTTCCAAGAGAGAAAAAGAACAAAACTATAAAGAGTTTGAACTGAGGTCCAAGTTGGACTTCTATCATCAGTAGCTCAAAAGATCCACAATACCTAACCTGATACTTAGGTCCAATATCCAACACACGTACTTGCTCCTTGCTATTTGTTTGCAATATCCATTGACTATATAACATATGTATCATGTACAATCTCACATATAGATGTGTTC